AACCATTAAAAATAAAAATTATGCATTCTATTTATGATATATATTTAAATGTAGAGCAATTATATAAAATATTTGATCATAGAAGAATTATTATTGTTTTTTAAATTTTATTATATTAATAATATTATAGTAACGATTCCTTTAACATATTCAGATATATTATTAAAAGAATAATTTTGAGTTTACATACTATTTTTATTTTTCCTTCGTTATATTAATTTTGAAAATAAATCTTCTAATAAATAAATTTTGTTTTAACATTTATTCTGTATAAAAATATTAAAAGTTCTTTTTTTAATATTACTGAATTGTATAAATGATATGTATTTAGGTAGGACCTTTGCCTTGGCTGGCTCCCTTTACCGATGATGCTCTAAGAGCATATGTAAAACAAGGGAAGAAGAATTTTATATTAGTCCCAGTAGCTTTTGTTAATGAACACATTGAAACTCTTCATGAGATGGACATTGAGTATTGCACAGATTTAGCAAAAGAAGTAAGCAATCATCTCGTATAACTTGTATAAAGTTATAAGGAAAAACTTTAATTTTTTATTTGCAGCTTGGTATTGAGAAAATAAGAAGAGCTTCCGCTCCAAATGACCACCCTATGTTTATAGATGCCTTAACAGATATTGTGCTTTCTCATCTAAAATCAAAACGATCAATAAATCCTAAGTTCTTAACACGTTGTCCACATTGCGTGAATAAAACCTGTTTAAGCAGTAAAAATTGGTACGCGAAAACATGTACGAGTTAAACTTATAAGTTAAAATTAGGAATATAAATAATGTATACATGGTTTGTAATAAATTATTCCTATAACTTATTAATTACTTCTTGTTGTTTAATAACCTTTCATTTTTTTTAAATATAATGCAAAACAATATGGATATATCTTTAATAGTTACAGATTTAGTATAATACAAAAACATTTATCATGAAAAATCAATGATAGTTAAGTGACGCATCATCATGAGTGTAGTTTTAATATTTGATGCTAACATTTTTCTTTATTACGTTTTTAATTAATTTCATTTTACATGTATTTCACTCAGTTTTTGTTGTACAAATTACGAGCTGAAACAAGAAATAATTGTGTTAAATATTTTTTTCATTATATTTATTTCGATTTGTTTTGCAATCATGTACCAGAATTTCATTCCTATTGAAATATTAATAGATTTTAATAAATAATGCGGATCATGTCATTTGTTATCGTTTCTAAAGTCTAGTCATTTATAATTGTTAATATAAACCCGATAAATTACGTATATTATATAAACGTAAACATTAAATAGTAATTAAAGTATATTTTAATTTTAAACATACTTTACATACATACAAATTATTTCTTATTAACGTAATAATTTTGTATTTTAAGTTTTAACTGATAATATTGAGAATGACATCAATTCTAGTATTCTAAGAACGAAGTAGCTAAAAAGAAAATAATTTGTAGTCAATTTTGCAAACTGGATATTTTTTATAATAAAAATATGTAGATGTTAAAGCTGTTGTACTTTTAACTGTATGTAAAATCAAATGTTATTATTTGTGTGCAGAAATTTAAATTATTCGGATGATTGCATTACATTATAGTTGAACCATTACTTTAACACATTGCGAGCGGGCCATTTTATTCATTTCAACTTATATCAGTTACATTCAATTCATTTATTTATTATTCAACATATTTTCAAGAGTTGCCATTGCAAATAGGAATAATTTCAATCATACGCAAAAGGAATCAACCATCTACTTTTGTCAAAAATGTTAATGAAGTTATATAAGTATTTATTTAGTACTTTAATACTACGGTACATGAAAATAATATTTTTACGTTTCCCGCATACAATGTGTTAAATCAGGCCTGTCCCGCCACTTGCCCGTACGGGCAGCTCCTGGTTTGCCCAGGTACAATCTTGCCCGCCGGGCAGTCCATAACGCCGCCGTAGACAAAGGTGGTTATTTTGTGTACTACTTTGTAAGTACTTTGTAGTGATACTGAAGGCCCTAACGCGCGGACACTAAACGAGTGTATTTCGTCCACTTCAGGAACGTATGCCCGTGGTTTTGCGTAAAACTTTGCCCGTAGGTAACCGAGGCTGCCCTTGCCCGCGAAAAGTCTGTTGGACAGACCTGCTTTAGATAAATAGTATTAATAGGTAGTTATAGGGTTTATAAAATAGAATTTAGGTAATATATATTATAAATGTATTATAATATACAATACGAAATTTTTACGAAAAAGAGCAAAAGCATTCCGTCTTTTTTTTTAATGATATTATATTTATAATAATTTTAAATACGACTATTATACCTCTTAAAGTTAATTCAATAATGTTGAACAAATTTTTTAAGGTACAAGAAAACTTGAAAAATATTAACAATGCACTTCTGAAATTATTCTATTTTAGTTTCAATGGATATTTCCATCCGAATGTGTCACAAAGTTAATTGATCATTATTTTTGGAGAATTATAATTTAGCGCATTATTGTATAAAGTTTTTCAAGTAGTAGGGATTATAATTTTAAATATATTTCCCTCCATAATTTTCAGAATATTATAAAGAAGTTTACATTCAATTATAAACTTAATACATGCATAATTGAGGATATTCATCTTATAATAGTAGATTATATTGTATACTTTTTTAGCTAGATGACACTCTCTCATTCGTGTAAATACAAAATAGAAATAAAATATATAAATTTAATTATACATAACAATTTGTATTTAACACAATACAATGTGTTTATTAGCACTAAACACGAATTTTATTTTAGTTGTATTAGCATGTATCTCGGTTTTCAATTTTTAAATAAAAATATACATTTTTATTGAAAATTTTGTACAACAATGTAATTGCCAATTTAGAAATAAACCATCGAAAACAATCAGATTGGAGTAATATGTATTTGATTTATTTTCGTGAACACTTGTTTGTTTTATCACAATGAAAATGATAAATATGATTTTGTGTTTACTGACGAGTAATATTATTTTCACGAATGAAATTAGTATGATGAAAATACTTGTTGTAAGTTTACTAAACAAATAATATTGTATAAATAGCCTATATAATATATACATAATAATATTCTATATACTTTGCCATATATCAACGTTTAAGACGAAGCGTAACTCAACGAATAACTTGTACTTGAGCCTTTATATTTTTATAATTATTATTATAAATTTTTATTTTTATTAATATTATATATTTTTTAATTGAAGCGTCTTTAATGCTGAAATGACGGTGGACGTAGTACTCTTTCTTTAAATCAATAATTCGTTTGTTTAAGAACGATAAATAAATAAAAAATAAGTTTGATAACTTCTTTTTGAGAATAAAAAGTACTTAACAGTAACTACTCACGAAACAAAAATGAAAATCAGAAATCCCGCGAGTAGTTTTTTACGTATTAAGTAACGAACGAGAAAATAGCGATCGTTGTTTTCATGAAGGCGCTGTAAGTTGTTACGAAAACAAATATAGAATACAAATTATTATGAAATTAAAAATAAAACCAAGAATAAACTGCATTATTTGTTAAGCGTCAGTGGCAAAAGAACTCCGTGTTTAATAGTAAACAAACGACTGTTGGAATTTCGTTGTACTGACAAGTAAATTAGTAATTTTGTTATTGCAATCAAGTAGTGAAGTAAGGGAGAAGCAATATTTATTGTATTTACGGCAGTATGTCTTCGATTTCTTTACAGGTTACTCTTAAAGGAGTTATTGGGGTGACAGCAGAGAGCGTCTGCCGTGCTCGAGGTATCGAACGTGAGTGGTGTGGCGCTGGATGCCGCGACGCGCGACGCCTATATAAATGCGCGGCGTCGGCGGGCGCGCTCAGTATGTGTCATGCCTTGGAAGCGCGAGTGTCGTCTGTGATGGCGGTTCTAGTGCGGTTGAAGATGCAATGCGGCACCGTTATATTGCCGCTCGTCGTTATTGTCGTGGTGTGTAGTGTGGATCTTGTTTGTGGAATGTTCGAGCATCGACAATGCACTCACCAACATCCCCGGGCGCACGAGGTAAGCATTTACACGAAAAGGACGACTGACTCACACTCACTCTTTCTTTCTCTCTACTTCGCTACTTCCCTCTCGCTCTTTTCACTTTTGTTGTCTCTACGCTCGCTTGGTAGGCACGCACGCCGTCCTACCGAACGACCGACTCGACACTTGTTTCGTAGTATCGCCTTCCCTTCTACAGATTTCTTCATCGAAATATATTCGTAATTCTTCCTACCTTCTTATCTACCGTTTTCTCTGTCATTCGAAGAGCAAAACTCGCTCATCTCCGTTACATCGAACATGTCTTTTGTTCCTTGTTCTTTGCTCCTCGTTCCTGTAGGGAAGAAATCGCGTGACTTTGGCGAAGCGTGCGTTTCACGTGTCACGTGTTCCCGCTGTCTCTCTTGCACACCTGTATCTCGCGTGCGTCCCACTTTGCTCTGAACCAATAAGCAACTGTCCTGTTCTGTTCTGTTATGCTATGTTCTGTTCTATTCTATTCTATTCTATTCTATTCTATTTATTGGTCGTTTAAATGCTTCACATTATTGCGCTTTTAATCGTTACACACTATTGCCGACACATGGTCGACATTCTTGTTCACCCTGCACAACATTCAGTCGTTAGAAACCTCTTGGAAATATTTCTCAGGCTCTTACGGAAAATGGTGTAAATCGTTCTCTGAGTTTGTAAACTTGTTTCTTGCATTCTTAACGTGAATCGACCACGTTCGAGGATTACGCAGTGTCGTACTTTTTCCTCGGAGCGATTAAGATTATTAGTGGTTAATGAGGAATCCAATGATACGAGTATATTTGTCTGAATTATAACAATACTGCTCGTTAGTACGATAATATAATGTACATTTAGCACGTGACATTGATCTCGTTCGGAATGGTGTCCGTGAACTTGTTTCATACGCCGGCGAACCACGTGTTTTTGAAGCGAGCACGTGCCAGCGTGTCTTGTTATATTATACTTTTCACTGTTCGCGCTTCGTTTCACTTGTAAGAATACTGAATGTTTCACATAACCGGATGGATCTGTCTTTGAAACGGTTGAACGTGCAGGAAAATGTGAAGTGAATTTAAATGGTTTTAGTCATTTCACGCCTTTATTTCGTTGTTGTGTGTTGCGGTGAAAAATCTTCTATTTATTTTCGAATTGTTTTGTATTTAAATATTTAAATTAAATTAATCGGGTATCGAAGTACGCACTTAATCCGTTAGTACAATTGCTATTTAAAAAGTAAAAAATAAGTTAACAGCTAAGCTATATATTTTAGTTCGGAGACATAAGAATTGTCACCTTTTTTATATAATCTTTTCTATTATATTGTTCTGAATACGGGGAAAATATCTTTTAATTTAGAAATGCACAGAATGTATGGATTTTTACTGATAGTTTAACTGCCGGTAACTTCTCCGGTGATTTATACACAAAGCACTAAATGCGTGGACAGGAGAGAAGTATCAGTAATTATTTTTCGATTATTGTAATTGTAACCATCGACGAAACGGCGACTAGAAAGTACAAGTTTGCAAATTTACCAAATAATAAAGAATCATATATATACATCAAAATACTCTTTTAATTTCATTTTTGCAGATGTAAGAATAGAGCTATAAAATAATGAAAAATTTGTAAAATAACTTTTAGTAAATCTTCACTTTAGTTTCTTTTTGGTAAAGTTCTAGGAAAACAACTTCATCGATTTCAATGCTTTTGAATTGTGTTAGGTTTCGATGTATATGATATTTTATATACAATAAGCAAAGAAAGTATTCAAACGGCATGATAATAAATTTGAAAAAATTTGAGAATGTCCGTCATACTAGTATGTCTACTACTGCAAAAATTAAAAAGTTGTCGCTTGAATGCTTCTATTTTACTCTATTTTTTTGGAGTTTTTTTTATTTTTCACGCTACGGATTTGTACTGGAAAAATCTTCAAAAATTTGTAGGCATACACTGCTATGCCAGAAATGTCTCGGAATTTTTTCATAATTTCTTCGTGCCATTAAATACGGAAAATAGAACAAAAACTAATAATTCGAATTTACCATATAACTACCCTTCTGGTTGAAATAGAGGGCTGAAACTTCGTTTACAATGTTTTTTATGGATAAGCTATCGAAGAAAACTTTCTAGAGAAAAATCCGTCGAAGGGCACTTGTGACCTCTTTATCCTGCTATACCCTTTGAAAGTAATAAATATATTTCTGCAGGCAACACTTTGTTGATGAAAGGAGTGGAATACTTTCACATTTCGAGAAATACAGTTGAAGTGTTGGCTTTCTGACAATGTCTTGCAGTAATAACATTGCAATAAAACATCTCGTTTCTGTATTTTGATCTTTTAAATAATGACTTTCAATATATTGTGCTGCATACAAATTCGTTTGCTCCACAACTATGGATACTAATCCATTATATAAAATTTTATTGAAATGAAATAAACTCTTTTCTCTCGACGATCTGGGCATATTAAATCTTTAACTGGAATTTCTACAAAAATCAAATGGAGTTTTAATATTTTCTTGTGTATTCCATTGAGAACTTTTAGTTTGATTCTCTTCTTCTGATCGATTGTCACTGTAAATGTCGTCTTCAAGTTCATTTGTACTGAACAAATCTTCTTCTGATTCATTTTCTTTACAAAAATCCATTTTTAAGTCATCACTCTTGCTTTCGTCAGAAAATGTCAACAGATGAGACATTTCTTCGCTTTCTAATATGCAAAACTTCACTACCATCGTTGTCTGAATCACCCATCTGGAGGGTAAAATTTAGCAGTAACGAACTATTTTTTTTAGCTAATTTGTATACCTTATACTTGCCTTATACTTTATGTTGATAATAACTGAAGAAATACATAGGTAAGGGACCCGAGCAAAACTTTTTTGAATCTTATAACTATCACCTTGTAATGAACCAGTAATACTAAGCGGCCTTCATAGCCCGCGCAACTCATGTTAATCGGAGAATATCCGATATCTCTACAAAGTAAAGTATATGAAACAATTGGGAGAATACCAGATGCATTGGAGAAAATAATCAATTTAGCTTGTAAAAAGTAATATGTTGTACGGGCAATAAACCAAAGAGAACAATCAATTTTTTTTTAAATACATAGCAGTTTTATTGTTAATATAAAGGAAGCACATCACCGAACGATATTTTTATTACATTTTATTGAAATTTTCAGTTTTTATGGTAAATGATAATTTTTTATTTTGCACGACGAGCGTACACGTCAACCGCACCGCAATAGAGGTTTGAATTGATGCGTATACACGTCAAATGCAGTTAACTGGTTAATATTTGGTTAGGCCCCCTTAGCCTTACTTATAGCTCGAAAGAGATTTTGCATGTTGTGTACTAATTGAACGAGTAAATTGTAAATTAACATTTATTGTATCAATATTTTGTAGGAAAATACTAGTAAAGATATGTGTCGACTTACTTTCCGCGTGAGTTTCTACGTAAACTTAGAATTACACATCTGCCGTTCACAGTTGTCTGATTGAAACTCTCTGGTAAGGTGTAAGCAGTACGTAAACTAAAGCTCCAAAAAATGTAAACAGATTGCTTTTAATGGTAAAATACATATTTTTAAAGTGTGTCGACGCCCTTTCCGCGGCGACTGTATATAGAGACAATGTTTTCGACAAGAACTTTTACTGTATTAATTGTAATTTTTAATAATGATGGCACTTTAATTATCAATCTCGAATATAAGTTAGCATGATTGGGGCCAGTTTTTCTGGTGCGGTGATGCATGGAGAGGTGCTTCGCCCTCGCTTTTAGTTCATAATCGCTCAAATTTTATACACATTAAAATAAAAATGTAATATATTTCTCATACCTTATGTAATCAATATTACAAAAACATGTCACAGGTATACTTTATATGGGGAAAATTCCGATATTTTGTTCTACAAGGAAAAAATTGTAATGGTACGGACAGCGTTTAGCAACTTTTTTATATAATAAGCAAGGTGCATGTAAAAAATAATAAATTTATTATATTAATATTTTGTTTTCGAACACTCTATATTATGATTATCAAGTTTTTTATTTGATTATACCCGTTTTTTCGTTTACGCGAAGTATCTGTTCCATGTGGATTTGTTTATGCGAAAGAAAATCGCACAAATAGAATCTCTCGGTACAAAAGAAGAAAAAATATTGAAAAGAAAAGTTGGTATATGTTATAGAAATACAGATTTCCTTCATATAGCTTAACATAAAGTTAATAATAATAACAACATTTCAGAAAACAAAAGTAAATTTTATTCGGTGTCACATAATTCAGATCGCATATACATAATGCCGTGTAAGTGGAGGGACGGGTATACGTATCACAAATATGTTCTTTTGTTAATAACTTTTTAGCAAACAATGAATGGCAATTAAAATCGCTTGGAGAGTGCTCAACAGAATGTCCTTTACAATATGTGTGAAGGTCAAGATCAATAAGGTGGAGATTCCTTCCGTATCAGAAAACAAGGACCTCACATGAAGTTTTTGAAATTAATTTCTGAAGGAGTTAACGGATTCTTATAGTTAAAGATTTCAAATTTTATCGTATTCAGAATAACATAATTTGACAGATTATACAAAAAACAAGTTAAAATTTGTCTATTCCTCAAATTATGGTTTAATCATATTGCCTTCTAAAGAGTAGAGGTACTTATCGTGTTTTGAAATAGCAAACTTTGTGTATAAACTTCTAATAATCTTTTGTAGAAATTAAAATCTGCATCGATGGGTGTACCCAAGAATAAAGTATTTATTTTAAAAAGAGTACAATTACACTTAATGTAATTGTATAAATGTAGCATTGGTTTAATTTTTCAATCCCGGTTTTATCTTCATATAATAGTTCCAAATGAATTTGTTATTCTAAATTCTAGATTGATTTTTGAAATGGAAACTTACTTTAATTTTTCCTATACTGTAGTATAGATATTGATGTTTACTTGCTTCCTATGAAGATAACATCGTAGAATCAA